ATCTTGTATGAAGTACATCAAAGTGGTACTTGAGTGAAAGTACAAATATTTTACTATACAATTAATTTGGTTAGTTAAATTCTCATCTAAGAATATTATTTGCGTAAAAGTCTTAAAGTATCTGACATTTACTGTAATTAAGTATAAAAAGTAAAATTCTGACATACAATGCCTATGTATTACAAGTAAAGGCACTGAATAAATGTGAATGGTTAGAATTTCCAAAAATATATATCACCAAAATTTCTACTTAAAGAACAGAAGTATTTTTACTTTGTTTTTTTACAGCGCTGAGATATATTTGTAAGTAGAGAAACAAATCAGAAGTTGTATAAATGAGGCCTTTACAAGAGGATTAGGGCCGCTTAAAAAAATAATAATTCTAACTTTAATCTCAGAATTCAGAGGGAAAAGAAGTCAGAATTCTGAGAAGAAAGACAGAACTCAGGAAAAAATGCTCTGTGGCCCTAATCCTCTTCTGTAGACCTTAAATGTTCAACTTGGATTTTTACATATTTTACACATTTAAATTTCACTCACCGTGAAACAAACACAGTCAAACTATCACCTTTGCTGTGGAATTTTCTCCTCTGTTCTAATCATCTTTTGTGATGACTTTTCAGTGACTCCGACATCTTCTCAGAAAGTTGGCGTCTACATTCGGGGACCACCACTGGAGCAGCTTCAGAACAAGAGACAGCTGACTGTTACGTGTCTTTTTGTCGGCACCAGTCTCAGCGACTTCTCCRTCACCTGGAAAGTAGGTGCTAACAAAGCTTCGACTCATAACGTGCGTACGCAGCAGCCTGTGGGTCACAACAACGGGACGGAGACTTTGCAAAGCTCCTTTAACGTGTCGATGGAAGACTGGAACTCATACAAGATCGTGTTCTGCAAGGCAAAGCATCACTGTTCCAACAGGGGTTATGATGGYAGCATCAGCAAAAGCAGAGGTAWTATTAGACWGTTATTCTTCTTTTGTGATTGGAASTCAGAACTCTTGTTTTATTTCTGGGTTTATGTTTGTTTGCAGACATGTACCCACCAGCCGTGACGATAGTGCGACCAACTTCCTCTGAGCTGTTTCAGTCCGACAGCCTCATGCTGACATGCCTGATCTCCAAGTTTTTCCCAGCAAACATTTTAGTACAATGGGCAGAGAACGGTAAAAACATCCCGTCTTCTCGCTATATCAACAGCCCTCCATGGAACGAACCAGGAAAAAAGTTTTATTCAATGAGAAGCAAACTGAATGTGACCAGAACTGAGGACAAAACGTCAACTTATACCTGCATCGTCAGACACGAATCTTCTGAGACTCCAGTTGAAACCAGTGTAAAGGATGTGTTCGGTGAGCTAAGCATTATACTGTATAAACAGCGGGTCAAATAAGTATTGAACACGTCACCATTTTTCTCAGTAAATATATTACTAGAGGCGCTAATG